CTCCGCACCCGGCCGCTCTCCTTCCCCTTGGCGGGCCAGCTGCGGGCGGCAGCGGCCGGGTCCCTGCGGCCTCTCGGTTGATAGCGGCGATCCAGTGACGCAGAGTCTTTTTGGGGGTTGTCTTTGCTTTTTCCACGTTACGTTTAGCCAAAGGCCCGCAGCCTGCCTCCGTGTTTGTGTGGTTCTGCCTCCAAGGGTACCGCTGCGGGCATCTCCCAGGCCTCCCGTCGGTGTCCAGGCCGGGAGCCTGGATGGTGGCCAGTGGTCGGGCGTCCTGCGTGCGGGGAGGCCGTCGCGGAGGGTTCTTTTCGTTTGGGGGGTTTTCTGGGGAATCAGATATGCTCTCAAGTATGCAATTAACAGTTTTTGTTATGTGGCATCTTTGATGTTAAAGGAAGTATATTTTCTGCATACTAATACAGGGTTTTCGGGGGGGGGGGGGGGTTTTTATTTTTTCTTTAGTATTTATGATCTTGCATTCAAACCGGATGGGACTCAATTGATAATTGCTGCTGGAAATAGACTGCTGGTAGGGAAACTTTTTTTTTTCTCTTGCATTTACAGCTGTATGAATATGATTTCTTTCCCATTAGCTTATGAATATAACCTATCAAAAATCCTCTTATCTCTACTAGTCCAGCCTCATATCCACATACATATTAATGCAGGCTAAGTTTAAAGTGTTTTGAAGTTTTTTAACATTTCTTACTAAGTTTCTATTTCCAAAAGTAATGAGGTTTAAGTTACTTGTATCATCTCATTCTCTCGCACCTCACCCGGCAGTTTGAAATCCATTAACCTGCATCCAAATGTAGCTCAGTAGCATGGTATACAAATACGGCACTGTTACAAGTTTCATGCAAATCTCTGTGAAAAGGGGAAGGAAACTCAAACTGATGTCCCTACTTTGTGAGAAGCTTCAACTATAACTTTTTGTGGTTCCCTGGGTCTGCTTGCCTGCTGCTAACTCATCGGCAAGAGCAGTTCGGGACCACGCTTCTCACGGTTCCTGCAAAGCTTTCAGATGGAGCAAGTGTAGAAACTGCAGGGATGGATGGATGGCACGATTATAGAGATGTAGCTCCGAACTGCACGACAGCAGGCTTTATTATTTTCAGTGCTCACAGAATGGTATATTTAATGATGTTTCTTTCCAGTAGTTTATTACGTTTAAACATCTAATGCAGGGAAAGAAGTAAAACAAGCTGGCCAAATGAGGTGTTTGGAAATTTCTTTTGTGCATTTGATTTTCTAATACTGTGTTTTCTTTCATTCCGAGAAATATTAAGTTAAAGAAAGCTGCTTCTACAGTTTAAAATGTTTTGTCTTGCATGGACTGTATGCTATGCAAAAAAGCAAACACAAAAGAAAGTGTATAATCTTGTTGGCCTTCAGTAATTTTATTTCCTAGTCCTCACCGGAAGATTTCTATGTATGTTTTTTCTTTGTATGTTTGTTTTTGTTTTCTCTCTGTTCAAATAGGTATATGATACTTCTGATGGAACCTTAATTCAGCCTTTGAAAGGACATAAGGACACTGTATACTGTGTGGCTTATGCTAAAGATGGTAAATATCACTTTGGGGGGCTTTGTTAGTCTGGTTTGTAAAGTGCCTATCTTCCACTTCTTATTGCCAGTTGATAAATACAGAAATCAGGGTTGTTTCAGTAATGGTATTTTGAACATGTGTGTGAGTGCTGGGATTTTGTTTGTTTGTTAATGGAGAGTTTGAACTGCCATACAAATGCTATGTGCAGAAGCACCGTGTTTTTACATGTAACGCTACCTGTTAATCCAAGAACTGTGGTTCCCACTTTCCCTCCCCTTCTACTTCAGTGATGGTTAAGTTTATGTTTGTGGGATGATGTGAGGAGAAGGCTTACTCCAGAGGTCTCTCTTTCTGGTACTCCACTTGCCTCTGATTTTTATTCCTATAGTTCCTCCATCCCAAAGCTTTCCGATCTCATCCTTCGCACATTACCATGCACACTACAGGCCTTATTCTGCTTCCAGTTCTTTCATTGCCTTCGATTCTCATTCTGTGGGGACTCAAAGGACTTCCTCTCAAACACTACTGTTTAAGTGATAGGGTATACCTGTGAAAATGTACCATTTTTCCCTTGACGCTGTTAACATAAATCTCCAACCTGTGACTGACAGTGTTGGCTACTTGCTTGCATGGCTGGGCTTTAGCGAGGCACTCTCCGTGGGAATAACAAAGTCATCGGAGTTTCATTTAGTTGGAGAAGCGCAATCACATCAAGACAGTTGTAGTGTTAGGCCCTTTATTACTTGAGCCTTGTCAAGTTCAAGAACTTCTTGCTCTTTCTTTGATTATTTGGAGTTAAAGTGATTCTTATATGTGTGGGATTTAAATTATATTTAATTCCTAGGCAAACGTTTTGCATCTG